CTGAGAACCAGTCAGGACATCGGTAGAGTTCTTCGGCACAGTCTGGCCACTTTGTCAAGAATAATAAAGTAACTCACAATGATGCAGCTTCTGAAGACATGCGGGCTCATTGGGAGGCCAGTCACACACTCAAGTTTCGTCTGCTCAGAGCTGTATCCACACATACATTTCTACCTTAGCTGAATACCTGAGGAGATAGTTCTGGGGGAGAAAAACAGGAGTCCTAAGGCTGAGGAAACGGCACATTCAGCCTGGAGAGCAAATGTTTGGAGGCAGCCCAGAGTTTCCTGAACAATTAATTAGCAGGACAGAAGAGCAGCTACAGGACTTGCTCCTGGGTTTTTGTCAAGCTCAGGGAAGAGGCTGGGGGAAGGAGATCCAGTCAAGGATTTCTCAGACGCTGAGACGTCAGGAAGATCCCGAGGGACTGGAGGGAATCAAGACACAGTAGAGAAAGAGAAAGAGCTCTCCACCGAGACAGTTCCAACTTGCCGAATATCCTTACCATCACATTCCTCTTGCTAGTTAGCACCTATTCACACCAGGCGGGAGACAGGGGCCGAGGGGATTGCAAGAAGGAAGCTATGGTCTGTCTGCTGGGACATGAAGTGGCGAGGGGCTCAGAGCAGGAGATGCTGCTACCCGCAGCCATTAGCCCCGCTAGCTGTCCCCAGCGCCCTCCAGAAAGCAGTGCGACCTGTGCGGAGGTGTCTACCTTAATGGGAGGAGTTGCCATCCCCTATTAATGGCCTTTTATTTCCTTGAAATAAACAGCACTGCTTCAAATCGGTGAAGCCCTTGTTCATGTATTCTGTAGTATCTGACCACCCCCAGCCTCACCCCCATTAAAATTGGCAGTCGCTTCAGAGCACAGGACACGTGTTCCTTTTCCACCCCTGGGTCCCTGGCATCAGAACAGTGCCTGGCACCTCGAAGGCCCTCCATGGAAGAACATGACATGAATGAATCCAAGGAGTGCTTATAGGAACCAAGCAGAACTCTTCCAGGCCTAGCAAGGATTGCCTCTAACACGCAGACTTGTTTTCTACATCGGAATGTAGGCAGGTGCATAAAGATGCATGCTTCATGAATAGGTTCTTCTGGAGAAAGAAAGCTCTTAGAAAGTGCCCAAAGCCATCAGCCCGGTGGCCGGATGCCGTACAGGGGAACGCGGTGAAATGGTAATAGGTCATCTTGGAGGGGAGAGGAAGAGAGAAGAGGCGAGTGGATACTGCCTGAGCCAGTCACTGAAAAGGCAGGAAGTTTTGGCCCAGAGTATACGGGAGCAGCGAGGAAGAGGTATGTCAAAGGCCCTGGAGGGTTTAGGAAGAAAATGATTTTCCTTGAGCAGATTCACCGCTGAGAGCTATGTTGGGACGAGATAGCGCTGCTGACAGGAGCTTCAATCAGAGGTAAGCTTGGCTTGTAAACCGCCACTGTGGGTAGAAGAACCTCTGCCATGGCTTTTGGGGGGGCGCAAGATGTCTGGCGGCTGGTGAGATCCCAGGACACAAAGACCACTGATGCACTTGAGCAACTGTCTGAACACTCGGAACCGAAGCCCGCTGCTCCCTGATCCTGTTTGGGAAGTGGCTACACCACAGCCATTGCTCCCTGGGTTGTGAAAACAACCTGCATGGATGGCCTATCAACGGGTACCACCTGCTCCCGGGGATGTGCTGGTCAGGTGGGCTAGCTCCTCACCGACCCCCGCCTCCGGGGGGGCCCCACCGTGTGTGTGTGTGTGTGTGTGTGTGTGTGTGTGTGTGTGTGGTGCGAGGGCTGCTTCCCTCGGCCATCTCTGAGTTTCCGTTCTCCTCTGTCAACTGGTGACAATATCAACATTTTACAGTCATTGTGAGGATTGGGTGAGATAATAGAACAAAGTGCTTAGTGCCCTATGCCTGCCTGCAAGGCTGCTGTCACGGGCCTAAGGAAGACTAAGCACAACTTACTGGCTTTATTTATGTATTTGTTAAAAGATTTTATTTATTTATCTATTTATTTATTTGAGAGAGAGAGAGAGCAAGGGAGGAGCAGAAGGAGAGAGACAAGCAGACTCCCTGATGAGTGCGGAGCCTGACGTGGGGCTCTATCCCAGGATTCTGAGATCATGACCTGAGCCAAAATCAAGAGTCCGTCCCTTAAGCAATTGAGCCACCCAGGGGCCCCAACTTCCTGGCTTTAAATTCTTATGTTCCATAACTGGAATTCATCCACGGCTCGTTAGCGTGTAAAGCTGGTTAGCATGGAAAACGACTTGTCAGTATCTATAGAAGTCGAATATATCCCCATCCTATGAACCAGCAATTCTACTTCTAGGAATATACGGAAAAGAAATGAATGTCCACCAGCAGGCATGCACACAAAGGTTAACAGCTGTATTGTTCACAGTAGCCCCAGACCAGAAACAACCCAAGTGTCCTTCAACAGAATGGTTACGTTCACATAAGGGGATACACATAACAATGAAAATGAGCAAATCTTTACAACTCACAACAGCACAGATGAGTCTCACCAGCCCCATGTTGAACAAAAGAAGCCAGGCACAAAAGAGCACATACGATATGGTTCCATTTACAAACATCTAAAAAATAAACACAACTGGCCTAGAATCTAGCTAGCTGTCAGAAAAGTGGTTAGGCTGCAGAGGTGGACAGTGACTGGCACATCCCAGTCACCACGGTGAGGGGCACAAGGGAGATTTCTGGGGTACGGAGAATGTTCTGTGTCTTCACATGGATGACGGTTACATGGGTGTGTCGCCTTATAAAGATTCATTGCACTTACAACCGATGTGGGCGTTTTTCTGAATGTACGTTCTTTGTGGTAGATAGCATGATTGCCCTTAATCCTTTGCTGTCTCTCCACTGGGGACAGTGTGTACTTCCTTGCCCTCTTGATGTTGGGCTTGTCCATGTGACCTGCTTGGGCCAAGAGGAGGTTGGCAGGCAGGATACGAGCAGAGACATGAAATGGGTTCGGATAGTTTGGGTTTGCCCTCTTGGGTCTCTACTGTAGTCATGAGAAGGCATGTAGACATGCCTCAGAGATGCTGCTTTTCTGGCCCGATTCCCAAAATAATATACGTGGAACAGCTGGAACTACACGTGGAGCCTGGTGTCGAAAGTCAGGCCTAGCCACTCAACTTGGAACTGATTGTGAGGGGAAAAACCAAAGACGACTGTTCGAAGCCACTGAACCTGGTGTGCTTTGGTATGCAGCATTACTGTGGCCATAAAGGACCAATACCTTATTCTTCAGTAAAGAGTCCGTTCACATCTGTATGCTCCATCTTTATAATAGCGGCCTGTTTCAAGTTCAAGTCACTGGCACCCACCTCCAGCACTTACATGAACAACTCATGTCATAAGTCAAATGAATCGGTTTCCTTTTCTATAAATTGGGGATGATGCTTACTTTACAGCGCTCTTGGGAGAATTTAATGCCCCAGCAGACCTAAAAGCACTTTGTAAATTGCGGAGCACAATTTTAAAGGGCTGAATGCTGGGGGTGGGGGGGCAGGAAGCCAGTGTATGGATCATGCCACACACCAGGCAAAGCTGCTTCCTGCCCACCAGGACCCAGCCTGACTCAAAGGGTGAGGGCACATGCGTGGGAAGGAGGCTCTGGAACAAATGTCAGGCCTGCGCTAAAGCAGTCACCCAGCTTTTGAGCATAGTTCTGTGGGGCCTACCCTTGGGGGGCAGGCAATGATGCTTACGTCTCTAGAAGGCCAGCTCATGCACAGGCCGAGTAGGTGATCCAGGACCCTCAGAGGGCCACCCTCAAGTTCAAGTCTATCCCCTCCCCTCCATGTCTTTCTTCTGAGTCTAAAGAGCTACCACCAGTGCTTCATTCCTTCCTGTTGGGTGCTGTGTGCCTAACCATCCGCTGCTAATCCCTACTGCCTGTCTTACAACACTTCTCAGTTTACACAGAGCAGGCCCATCTGTTCTCTCATTGTGCTATTATTTCCATTGTGTGGATAAGGAACCTGAGATTCCGAAAGAGTAAGTGGTTCCTGCCAGGCCACTTAGTTAACAAGCATTAAAGCTGAATTGGCAACAGGTTTTCTAACCAAGGGTTAGGGAGGTAACTCACTCAACTGAGCAAGAATTCCATCATTAAAGAACCAGTTGTAGAATCAGGAAACAGGTGGCCCTGGCCTGAGGGGACAGGACCAGTAAATTTTGACAGGGGAGAGTGGGGGCGGGGGGATAGGTTTGGAAAATCAGCATCAGGTAAGCAGTGGACTTTGAGGAGGGTGGGGCAGGGGCAGATGAGGAGGTGGGGGAGGAAGGAAGAGGGAGGAGGCCAACCCCTGGTGGGCCTACTAAGGGCAGTCTTTCCCGTGGGAGGAGCTAGGGCCATCAGGGGGAGCACTTCCCCACAACAGCTCTGGGAGAAAGGAAAGACTCCAAAGGAGGCCCCCTGGCTCTGTGATGCCACAGCCCTGCCTCTTCTTCAACACTAACAGTCTGAGGGTGATGCGGCCACCACATTCTGCAATGATAGCCCCCCCCCCCCACCACCGTGGGGATGCTCCCACTGCCTGCCTCGGGGGAGGGTGTGAGGTAAAAACGCCTGGCCTGTCTCCTACCACACCTGTCTTCTCTCTCTCCTTCCCTGCCCACTGCCTGGCCCCAAACTGGTTCCTGTGCCCAGTAGCATCCTCAGTATCAAGATGGTGAGAGCTGTGCTGAAGGGATCCTCGAACAAAGCTGTATTTAAGCAAACACACGCTTCCTTTAGAGTGCAGACAGCAAGGGCCCATCTCTGCTGATTCAACAAAACATGGCAACCCTCGAGGCAGGGATGGGAATAGGGTGGGGTCCTGCCTTTGCAACAGTTTTCCCATGGGTGGAGTAGAAGACTCTCCATTGGCATGGGGAGCCGTCACTGCTCCTTTCCTGGGCACCATCTCAGCGTGGCCCTATTCTGAAGCAAGCTTCTCCCCGTTTCTCCAGAACCAAGTGGCTTATGTGGCTGTGACCTACCTCCGTGGTCCGAAGGCCATTCTGTTTCTGGGTCAGAGGGCCTGAGCTGAGGCTCTGGGGATTCGGGCACTGGGTCCCACAGCTCATCTTCTTGTCTGGGTTGGAGATTCCACCTGGGGCTGTAGATCGGGGCACACCAGTGGAGGAGAGTCCGTCTTCCAGCACACCTTGGGGAAAGAAGCAGAGGATGGCATGGGAGTCTTGCACATGACAGTTGCTGCAAACAATCCCCAAGCGTGTGGGGGGAAAAGCCACAAAGAAATAAGTCACCACAATCCCACCATGCGGAATTACCCTTTCCTAAAAGAACATGTGTGGGGGGTTTTAAATATACATATATATGTGTGTGTGTGTGTGTGTGT